CTTTAATAAATGTGCTTAATTTTCAATTGAGTAAATATCACTGGAAACACCATGCAAGTGAGGCACATGCCTGCTCTGGAGTGTTACATTACAACACTTATTAGTATGCTAAGTATTAAGATAATGATGTGCTAAACCTCAGGCTTACTTGTAAGCGAATGAGAGGTCATATCCAACTTTTTTTGAAAGTGAGCATGTTTTAGAGTTCTCAGAAATGGCTCATGCACACAGGTAGTTACAGCATGGTCAGTGGTGACAGCAGTGGCCCACAGAGGGGCCTGAGTGGGAAATGCAGAAATGCAAACATGATGATGCAAGAGTCTATGAAAATGGTCTGAACTCCCAGTTGCCTCTAAAGCGATGCAGATGGTCAACTGTTCTGTAAGAAATCCAAAGACTGAAATATATTAGCATAAAAACTGCACTGCTGGACACAGTTAACAGATTTATCAAATTAAGCCTGTTTTCAGATTACCTGCAATCGGTAGAAAGACCCTTCAGTGGAATTATCAGTGTTACCCGTGAATAGCCTGCCCTAAGACAACTTTCCTTCATACTGCAACTTCTCAGGTTTTCAAAGGTACCTTTCTTCTGAGTAACATGCTTTATCAGTGCTGTGGTATCACAGGGAGCCTGCGTGAGTCACTCAGAATAAACAGGGGAAAACTTTCGATTTAGCATGTAGTGTTCAAGGGGGGGCCCTTTCCAGTGTTTCCACATGAAGAGTTTTACATTTGAATTTTTTAACCCAAAGACAGTAAATTCTGATTGGCATTACTCTGCAACATTGTTCAATTTCCAATAATTGTTCTTTTCATAGCAATAAAGTAAATTTACTGAATCGCTAGCAACTAAACCAATAAGTTAGCCTGCAACGCAAGATGGATTGAAGGAGTTTTTATTAGTACTTAATTGATTTTTGCTCTAGATGCTCATACAAAGTAAACAGTGTCATTAAATAAAGATTTGTTTTAAATACAATCAGTGGGCAATCTGCTTGCTACTATCCTTTCTTCAACAGGAAAGGCTTCAGGGGAGAACTTACTGTGATACTAATAGTACTGAGGAGACAATCTAAAAAAAAAAACCATCCAGCTGTTGTAGACAATGTGGTTTAAATAGGAATTACCTTGGAGATGCGATGCTAATTTCCTACCATATTTAATTCTGTTTTCCACTTAAGTCCCATTCATTTTCAGAATGAAAAATTTCTTGTGTCAACATCAGTATTCTATTTTTTTTCCTTCTGTGTCTTTTAACCTCTGATTTAGAATTTAACAGCTGCTTATCTTGAATACTACAGCTGAAATTTTAAGCTTTATTTCTGCTGTGGTAACTGATCCCTCTTGCTTTTACCTCTCTATTTCTAGCTTCATGATTTTATGAACTGACAAGCTGTTACTTTGTTTAACGGCAAAACATGATACCTCCCTTCCACAAACACAAGGCAAAAAAAGAGCCCTTGCAAAAGCTAGGAGTTGCAAACATCTGAGCTCTTCTTTGCAAAGTTTTCAGGAATAGAGCCATAAATATACAAGGATATTTACCATACTAGATTCTCTGTTATTGCTAACATAATAAAATAAGTCTATCCAGATTTATATCAGCATAATAAAAAGCAACATTTCATGCTCACAGTCACTTGCATGCTAGAGAAAGAAAAGGCTTCTTTAAATCTGGAGGGTAATACTTACAAAAGGAGTGCAATATTCACTTTAATTCTAATTTGTGTCTAAATTTATTGGCCGGATAGTAGAGAATGACTGAGGGTGTGGCTTTCAATTACCAATTTATATACTAAGGTATATAATTTGCTGGGCCAGTTAACATGTGGAAAGAATATGATTTTGATTCACTTTGATTTACTGTCTGAATCTATACGTATTTTCCTCTCTGCCAAAATTGGGAGGAAATAGCAATACCATAATACTATAATAAGTGGTTCTTGTACTACTAAGTGTGAATGTGCTGCATGGGATAAATGAGATGAGGCACCTTATGTAATTTAATTCCTGGGCTCCTTTTCTTCTTAAAAAAAAATAAGGCTTTTCTTGAGGGCAGAATTATGAGGGAACGATTTGTATTCTCAGTCAGCACCTTCTTACACAAAGAAATAAAATATATTACTGAATGCTTGGTTGATTAAAACTAGTGGTGGAATGAACCACAGGAAAGTTTACCAAACAGCATAGAAATACTAAGGCTTATAAAGAAACCTGACAAGAGGAAGTACGTGTTCAGAATAAAAACAAAAGCAGGGATGTATCAGCTGTCTGCACAGGATGATGGATGAAAGATGTTCCTTGCAGCTCACAATCTTGTATCTATACCATGTTCTGTTTCTCCTTTTGGAGTGCAATAAAAAACCAAACTGTTTCTGTAGGTCTTGCAGGATTTTATACAGCACATGAAGTGATGTACTGAAACTGAGGGTCCATCTGTTCTAATGCCTTGTCTCCTACTGGTCTTGGCTTTTCATGCCTAAATTCTGCCACCGAAATAGACAACTTGAGTAGCAGTAGCCATGGATAGTGATGGAGGATGCTACTAGAGGCATAAGGGTTGGGTAAATCTGGCAGGAGCGAGCTGGGGGCAGGATGGGGGGGCTTCTTACAGCATGCCTGATTCGGGATAAAAATTTTTGTGTGTGCAGTAGGGTTAAGACTCAAATTCAGTTGGAAATACATCATCTCCTGCACTTAAAAATGAACTGGGATCATCAGTCTTGTGCAAACAGTAAACTGAACTCCCGTCACTTGGGGCCGAAGGTTTGGAAGCAGAAGAGAAAGCCCTCAGGTGCTCAGGGAGGTTTTCTAAGGCTTTGGCCAAGTGAAAGGTGAAGCGAGACCCAGGTGTACCGCATTCCCCATCAGCACCTGCCTTATCCTTCCGAGATGCGCCGCTCCAGCCCCTTAAGCGATGGGGGGGTGCGCGGAGTTACCGGGGCACCGGGTCACCTGCTTTCCCCTTGACTCTCGCCCTTCTCTTGCTCCGCGCCGGCGCAACAAGCGCTCCCGGTTGATCCTGGGCAGGCTCCCGCGGAGGAGGCGAGGGGTGGGTGGGCGCAGCCCCCCCAGCGGAGGGTGGGCCAGGCGGGGGGAGCCTCCCCGCATCCCTCCGCTCCTCCTTCCCTCCCTTCCCTCCTTCCCGCGGCGCATCCTCTCTCCAACCCCTCGCCTCTCCCTCCCTCCCTCCCGCTCGCCGCCTGCGGGGCTGCCGTCGGGGGTGGCTCCTCCAGACCCGGCCCGCTCTCTCCCCGCCTCGGGATGTGCTGAGGGAAGGGGCGGCTTCCCCTCGG